TCGTTCTAAATAAGACATGAAATTCAAAGACATTAAGAAAAAAGATACAGACTTTAATGCTCTAAACAGAGCCTGTGATTTCAATCCCATTATATACTTTTACTTTTCTCTGACCCCTCCCAAGATACAAATTCCAGGTTGTACACAAGGGGACAGCATATACCTCCTCAACCAAACCCCACTCTGCCTCACTTCTCATGCGTGCAGCGCCACCCAGTCAGGCTCATCTCCCTCAGGGCCCAATGGGCTCAAGCGCAGCCCATCCTGGGAATGGTCCGAACAAACTGCTCCCAGACCTTCCAAACCTGGTGGACAGGCCCCTACCTGCTTGTCCTCACCATACCAACAGCCATAAAACTCTAGAAATTCGACCACTGGCACCACCTATCCCGGATAAAACCTGCTCTGACTACGGCTACTGATTAGTTCTCCTGTGAACCATGATGACCCGCAGTGCCATCCACCTATGAACCTGGCCACTGCTGCATCCCTACTCATCCCTCCCCATCAACAAACCTGGCCATTAACCTTGCTTCTTGGCCTCAACTTCCCCCACACTGCCCACATCAGCAAGAAGTAGCCAGAAAGAATGCTTTGCCCCTTATCCTATAACTAAGAAGTTGGAATGTAAGGTCAAGGCTGCCTGGGCAAGACTGGGGGCGGGAACCTTGAATTTGGGGCTGTTACTGTCTGTATACAGGGAACCTTCTAACCTTGAGCCTCCTAAATTCTGGGAACTGTCTGCATTCTGGGAATTGATCAGAGTCATTGATGAATCCGTTTCTGAAATACAACTTCCGTGCCCTATAAAAGCTTACTCGTGTTCCCCAGCAGGTTGACTTCTCTGACCCCTGTGGGGGTTAGTGAACCTCACCCAGGAGCACAATAAAGATCATGCCTGTCAGAAACTTCACCTGGATCTCTCCATCTTTTTTTTTTTAATAAGTTTATTTTTACATCATTTTGTACATTTTTTTCCATCTCAATTGTAATCCCCATGGGTTTCCCATCACCATGTCGCCCATGTGCCATCACCATAATCCCATGCTCTTCCCTCCCCACCCCCCCGTTTTTGATCCCATTCCCCACTCCACCCCCGCAAAATGTCTCTGGTATATGGTTGTTCATTATTTTTGTTATTTTCTCACCTGGTCCATTATATTCCTGCTATAAGTGAAACCATCCAGTGTTTTTCTTTCTCTTTCTGGCTTATCTCACTAAGCATGATCTTTTCCAGCTCCATCCAAGTTGCTGCAAAAGACATGTGTTTCTCTTTTTTGATTGCTGAGTACTATTCCATTGTATATATGTACCACATCTTTCTAAATACAGTCATCTACTTTTGGGCATTTAGGCTGCTTCCATGTTTTTCCAATTGTAAATAAAGCAGCAATAAACATGGGGGTACAGGTATCTTTTTCAATCAGTGTTTTTGTGTCTTTTGGGTAGATACCTAGGAGTGAGATTGCTGGGCCATAGGGAAGCTCCATGTTTAGCAGTTTGAGGAACCTCCAAACAGTTTTCCATAGTGGTTGTACTAGTTTGCATTCCCACCAGCAGTGCAGGAGAGGATCTCTCCATCTTTTAATGTACCAAACCTTTCAAATATGGCAAGAGAGCAAAGCTGTCTGTATAGGTTTTCAAGTTTCAGCAGGAACTGCTGTCCTGTTCCTGTCCTGTGAAGCAGTTATGTAGGAATATGCAGCCTGCAGATAAGCCAGCCGGTCAGCAACCCCACTAATTGCCAAGGAACCAGATAACAAAAGTTAAATAATGGATACTCATCCTTTGCATTGCCACAGTGGCTCCTTAGAAATCTGAGACTTGATTAACCCCCCTGCCTAGCCTGCCTCTGTGCATATAGCAACAACATCTTGAGATCAAGATAACTTAAGAAACTGAAAAATCTAAGCCTATAGAAAAGCAGAAACCCTTTCCTACCCCTCCCTCAAGAATAATTACATTTTTATGTTAATGACTCACAGGTCCTATCTACATTAACTAAACCCAAACTTGGGATTATTGGAACAGTTCTCATGGAGTAAAATCTGTCAGCCTGCTTCTCAGGTTTGAATCTTCATTTAGACTTTCTAAGAAACTCTTAATCTAACAACTGATATTATTGAGACTTATTTTAGTCAATAAACATAAGTTTAAATTTGTGAAGAAAACATTTGCGACACGTATGCCAAATTTTTAGTATCAAGATGATCTAACAATAAAAATGTCCAATAGAAAATAAGCGAACTCACAGGAAAATGACAAATTATCTATATGTATATGAAAATGTTTATTTTTATATGTTTATTAATCATGGGAAGACTATTAATCATGGGAAGACAAAGTAAAACAGTTAAACATCACTTTTTAATCCATCAGATTGGCCAAAATTCACAAGTTTGGCAACATGAAGTAAAGGCATGGATCCAGGAGGAAAATATTATTATATCCTGCTGAAACTAGTACAGTTGTTTGGAGAGAAAGCTGACACTGTCTTACCTATGACCCAGTAATACTTCTTCTCAGTATTTGTCCCAGAGGAACAATGCATGAAGAAGGTATTGCAGTGTTGTCTGTGCTTAACAAGATTAAATAATTTATTATCAATAGGCAAATTAGCTGTTCAAACTATGGAAACTCCCTGGTGGTCCAGTTGTTAGGATTCAGTGTGCTCAAACTATGGAAAATTGTACAGGAAGGAAGAGATCTGTGTGTACCACTATAGACCGTTGGAGAAAAAAACAAAGTGAGGAATTCAGCATGAGCATGTTCACACAAAGTATACTATATATTTTCTATGAATACATATCTGAATTTCTAGCTAGATTTCCTCTATTTTGCAACAGAAAACACACAAGACTAAAATTAGGAGTAAGTGGAATTAATTCTAACCACCCTTTTGTATTCCCACTTCAAGATTAACTGTTAACTCACTGAACAGCACCCCTATTCCCTCCTGTATTCTTGGGAACTTGGAAAATTGATTGTGTTCCATTCCTGATAAAATCAGGAACAAACATCTGCTGTCTGCTGAGAAATCACCTGCTGGGAAAATCAAACCACTTGACTCCTATCCCCCTAGACTTCCCAGCACCTCCAAGGGCCTGGAAATGCAAAACCCTGCTCCTGCCTCTCATGCTTTCACCCATTAGGGTGGAGGCTAAGAGAAAATTTAGGTTGGAAGCATCACTAGGATGGAGCATCTCACACCACAGATGTGACAACAGAAATTATTAACATAATTGTTAAATCAGCTATAGAAATGAAAAATCCTTAGGTACCAGCTGCTAAAGGAAGTATCAGACTGCTAGAGAAAGTATTAGAGACCCAGAGCAGAAGTGGAGACAGGGAGATTGAGGGCCACTGTAGAAAACCACGGGTTCTTATATATAAGTCCTTGTCACACCCTAGAAGTGACTGACAATAGATAGTAATTCCACAAAGGAATGCTCTCCAAAACACTCCCCAAAAGAAGAACACTATCAGTACAATTTCTATGCTTGCAAAACAGAGCTCTCGTGTTCGCCTGTGACTATGCCAGTGTTTCTTTTCACAAACCTTTTCCCTTTACAAAGCAGCTCTCCTGCCCACCTGAGACCACACAGGTGCCTGTCTTTCTCCTTTTCCTAATAAACCTGTGCTTTTAAAATGGAACCTTCACCTACCTTTCTGTGCAAACACCTTTATCTCTTGAGTAATACTGTCATGTACTGCTGAAAGGGGAACTCTACTGAAACTTTTCTCACGGTAACTTAAGGACCCTGCTCACCAAGCCTCTCTTCAAACCTATATCACATAAAATCCGATCACTCATGCCATTGGGGGTACTGGCTATTTTGGAGTGACTATCCCGATAATGACTGCCATCTCAAATAAAACTTCATGTAAAGACAATTTCATAATTCAGAGTTTGCCTTCCTAGGCATGAGTCCAAGTCCCAGCTTGGTCTGTTGTATACTGTATGTAAAAGTACAGGAAAAGGTCTGGAAAATAAATACACCACATTCATAAGAATAAACTTTTGATGGAGCATTGAGGAAACCATGATTGGTAAATGGTCAATGACTTTGTTTTAAATGTTGAGACCATATTTGTTATTACTTTTTAACTTTATTATTTAAAAATATTAAAGAGAGATACAGAGAAAACATCTGGTACACAGAAGGCTTTCATGAACTTAAAGTTAAGGATTTATTCCTCATCGTCCGTCAAAAGCAGCAAGGTGTCCCAATAAAAATGAAATATGAAAGACACAGAAGAGAGGCCCTGTGTGACATGGGTGGTGACTCAGGGGGGTGGACAGGCAAGAAGAGTGAAAATAAAACCAGCAGGTACGGTCAAAAATGTCCTAGACCAAAACCAAAGACGTGTGAATGAGCTGGCGAAAGACAGTCGCAAAGTAATGTTCAAGGAAAAAACAGTAATTCTTCTCTGCTGAGGTTCAAATGCAAATGTCTCATTTCACCCTCACACACCAACATTTTAGAAAATGGACACTAAGGTTAAAAGAGGTGTAAAGATTTGCTCGAGGTCCTATAACTGATGGCGAATGCAAGAGGCAATACTTAAACCCAAAACTGTTCGTTCCACCGTGTTTCGTGGACAGAAAGGGCAGGGCTGGGGGGGGAGGAGGGAGAGTGATAAAAATGTAAGGGGCAGGAATCATCAAAATAAGAAAAAAAAAGATCACACACAAAAACCAGAAACCCCCTGCAAAGGGTATGTGTATAAGCTGCAGGTCCCTTTTTGCAGAGGGCAGGCATCCGGCGGAAGAGTTTTGGTCTGAGGCTTTCCGCTCTGGGACCTAACAGAACGCCAAGCTCCAACAGCGCTGGCACACTGAGACGACCAAACCTCCCACAGCCTAGAAAGGCTCCTGCGCGGCGAGGAGGCGGGGCCACGAGCAGCTTCCGGTTCCGGAAGAAAAGGCCCCACGTGTTCCGACCGGCCAGGCCCCGCGCCGCTCGGATCCGGCGGCGCTGCTTCGGCCGGGAGTGGGTGGGGGACGAGCCGGGGCAGGGGAGGAGCTGCAGAAGCTGTCGGAGCCGTGAGTGCTGGGGGGCCGGGCGGGGTCGGGCCGAATCGGGCTGAGTTGGGCTGGGGGCGAGAAGGAGGGGTTGGAGACCCCGCCTCCCCGGAGCCTGGGGAATTCGTACCGTCCCGGGGAAGGGGCGGCGGCAGTGTAGTGAGGTGCGGAGACGTCGAGGTCCCGCAGCTTCCTGGTGGCCCGAGCATCGCGGATGGCGCTCCAAGACTCTTTCTTTAAAGCCACCGCCCTCCGCCCCCTCCCGAGGCCTGCAGAAACGCAGTTAGTTCGTGCCTCCCGTTGCTTCCGATCAGCTGCGCCCCCACCTCGCGCCGGAACGAGGGAGGAGTGGTCTAGGCCCCTTTATTTCTCGAAGTCTTTCCTCACCCCGCCTCTCAGATTGCTCAAGAACTCCCTTTGCAGACTCCATGCCCATCTCTCAGCACCACTAACCCATCCCCCCGACGCACACGCAGATACACTTTCTCCTGATCTTATCACCCGCGATCATACTAGACTTTGGAGACCATCTGGCCTGTGGTTTTTCAGCTGCCTCTGTGACCTGACCGACCCCGAGTTTACCCTCAAGTTGGTGGCTCTATCTCCCCTTTTAACTTTTCTCCCCTCGCAGCCAGTTAGTTTTGACACTGATCAGTATCACCATCACTCCGTGCTTTTTGTCTGGTTTGACGGAAAGTTTGTTAGTTTGTATGACTTGGATATCTAGGCCAGTATTCGCTCCATTTTTGTTTATCTGGGTGTTGGATTCTCCTGTCTCCTAGGCTGGAGATAAACCAAGATAAACCTGGTCTATCTTGGTCCCTGTCCTGAGCTCCCCAGAGCTAGATTCTTCGGACTGCCACTTACTGGATCACCTTTGTCCAGGGAGCAGTGCCACATCCAGGCCTTTCTTAGTGGCTAGGGTTAGAACTGTTGCCTTTTCTCTGTCCACACTGCAGGTGACACCCAGGGCAGCATCAATCAGAAGCCACCAGGAAGGCTAGTGGAGGCCCTCTTCCCTCCCAACTTCTCTTCCAAGCTGCCCCATGGGCCTCGATCCAGAAAATCACTTCAGAAAGGTTGTGAGGTAGCTCTGGGAGACTTACGGGTGGGAAGTGTGCGATAGTGGAGCAGTTCGAGTTTGTAGCCATTTCTCTTGGGTCTCATGCTATTAACTCTAGCTTGGGAAGGTGGGTATGGTTGGAGGGAGGAAAGGGACTTTTCCTCCTGTGACCAAACACCTGGGATTCATGATCTTTCCCCCTTTCTCCTCCAGCTATACCCCTCTTGCATTCTTTCTATCTACTTTATTGCAGTAGACAGTCATTTCAAGGGCATGGCTAAGCTTACTACGATGTGAGGGACTCTTGAGCTTTACAAACTATACAGATGAGGTAAGTTAAGGTTTACAACATTTTAAACAGTTAACTTAGCGCAAGCATAAAACATAAAATGGGCCTAGAGTGTTTGCTTTGCATACCCTTCTTTAAATGTTAACTAACATTAGAAAAGTTGGAGCCTCTCTGCTTGAACCTCAGATTTTACTTATTTTGCCTGAAGTAGTGATCCTCAAACTTATTTCACATTACAAGCACCTGAAGAGTTTGTGAAGTACACATTTTCTGGGCTGCCCATAGAGCTGATACTAAGACTGTGCTGGGGTTTGAAAATTTGCTTTTCTAACAAATTCTCAGGCCCTGTGCTGCTGCTCTGGGTTTCTCACTTTGAGAACCACTACCTTTGGCTAAAAAGCTTCACTTAAACATTGCAGTGGTTTGGGCATCAAAAAAACTGTGTGAGTACTTCTTTGCTAGAAACCAGTAAGATGATCTTGTGTGGGTAATTTAACCACTTAGGTCTGGTTGCAAAATTAAGAAAATACACTTTAGGGCCCTCCCTGGTTGCGCAGAGGGTTAAAGCACAGCACTGTAAGTGAGCCTCAGCTGCTTCAGTGAGAGTTTGATCCTGTCCCCAGAGTGACCAACATGGTGCAGCAGACCTCTCCTGCCCCGCCCCACCACTGCTCCCCTCAGCAGTGTGCTTCATCCATTTGCCTGTTCTGTTCACCACTTTCTCTTGTGAATCCTCATTGCCTGGCTTATACCCTAGTTCTGTATGCATATATAAATCTTTAAAAGAAAAAGAAAGTACACTTTAACAAAACTTAGTACTGTGTTATGCCAAATTCAAGATGGAATATAGGTTTGTTTCCTTTCATTTTCTTAAATCTCTTGAATAGGAATTTCTATTTTGATCATATCACTTATCTCCAGATTCTAAATTTTTGTTGTGAATCTGCAGCATTACTAAAATTCCTGTTATATATAAATGGCATAATTCTTCATGGTAAGAAGAATTAGCCATCTTTCTCTGCCCAACAACTTGAATTGTGTGGGACACACAATTTGATGCTCTAGATAAATGAATTCCTTCTCCTGTTCTCTTCCTTCCATCTTATGCATAACAGTAGAATATGACTGTAATCCGATTCTTAAAGATTGGAATGAATACTAATATCCAGTTCTATCTCTGAAAGTGGTTTATTACCCAGAAGCCCTAACACCCAATAATTCTGAATTTCAGTGTCTGAGTTGGAGGAAGAATAGGCAATTAGTAAAATTCTAGATGAAAAAAATTTAAGCACCTTTTCTACCAAGTATTTCCATGTTTGAAGGAGGTCCTTACCCTCAGGGACAGGGCTCACAGTGATCTCCGTGGTGCCCAGGATTGAATGGCTCCCCATGCTTCTACTTTGAACCTTGTCTTTCGGAGTGGAAACCTGAGGCTCCCCAGATTGCTGTACCGCAGGCCTAATTCCCATCCTTTCCATCTCATCATAGGCAAGGAGGCCTTGGGCAAACCAGAAGGAAGTCATCTAAATGCAGAGTAGGGCATGTTCTAACAATATTAATTACAGAGCAAAACACATAAGAAAAGACTTTTGAAGTGCTTTGCTGCATTATCCATATTTATACTTCTAGTCAGGCTGTATTATAATATGTATGAACCTATTACAGTTTATTAAATAATAGTTACTCTGTGATTGGCATTGCACATGTTCATTACAGTAACTGGATATATCCAGTTTAACCTTGAGACTGCAAAATGAGAGCTGCTTTCCTCATCAGGTTTGATGATTGCCCTTTTCCTACTGCAGACTAGTTTGAGGTGTTTATTTTAAATAGAGGCCTATAGATTGACCCACTTTTTACAAATCTTTAACCTTCTCTGGGTAGTAACGTGGTTAAAAGCCTATCTTTCTACTGGGGGTTAACCAGCATGATCATGATAGCAAGATACTGAATTCTAGACACTGAAAATCTGTATTTGTCCTCTAATCTTTCTCAACTCCTGAATGAACCCTCCCTAACTATCGTAGGCTACCTTATGGCTCAACCACTCAATAAAGAATCCATGTGTCTATGTTCATCTCAGAACCCTCCTTTATCACCATCAGACCACTAGATGACTTCTCAAAATGATCCAGCTCTCTGCCTTACTATAGAGAATCATCCTCAATTTCCAGATGAATTAAAGTGACTTGTCCAAGATGACACATCTTTAGAAGGTTCAATACAGGTCATCTCCTTCCAAAAGCAGAAGTGTTGACTGTCCAGTACTGCCTTCTGAGTTTTTGGCACCTAACTATAGAAAGTATATTAATTAAATATAAAATGAATCACTGATTTTATATAGCATTGTTTCATATCTCATGTATGCATTACTTTTGATTGTACCTTTATATCCAGATAATACCCTAACCACAAAGCCTACAGAATATTAAGAAACGAGGAAAATAATTTTGCCTCTTAACTGTTTAGAGTCTTAGCTGAAAATCCCTTATAATGAAAAGATAGCTTCACAGGTGAAAAGTTTAATTATGTACATAGGTACAGGATCCCCAGAAAGCTCTGAAGCCCAAAGAAATTACCAGTGCAGGAAGCAGAGCCAAATTTATGAAGAATTGATAAGACAGAAAATCTGGACAAGGGATAGTGAAGTGGTGATGTAACAGTGTCTGTTTATAGAGCCTTGTCGACCCTCAACACTCTAGGATGTCTCTCTCCTGGAATAGGGAGGGTACCTTAAAAGTGAGTGATATATCTCATTTTGGGAAAAGAGAAGGGACAGGGTGTCAAGAGCAGCCACCTTTCCTGCTTCTGCCATTTTGTCAATATCTTACCAAATAAACCCACATGTCCTGAAGCCCATAAGATTGCAGAAGATATTTGTGACTTCACCTCATGGGCTTTCCTATACTGCCCACTACTTACTTGACTGCTTTGTTTTGTCTTGCCTTCCTCTTCTCTACATCTCATTCTCTTTGAAATCTGTTATAAGATTTGAACCACTTCTTCCTTTGCTACTTAAATGTTCTGTATTACTTAACAGAAAAGGGGGAAATTTAAATGGTAAAAAGTTAAAAGCAATAGTTTTTAAAAATGGTTTAATGCATACTGTTGTGATGTGCTAGAAAGCTAAAACTATGCATTCCTTTCCGTTTGTTTCCTTTCCCAGGTTAAGTTTTCAAGGGACTTCAGGGGTGTACTAAGTGGGCTTCTTTCAAATTGTCTCCCATTACAGGGAGGGGAGAGGATGGGACATTGACATTGCTAAACAGGAGCATTGCTAAGAATGTGTTGGCAGAAGAACCTGTCTTTAAGGGTCTATCCTGCCTCTGTCCCAAGGGTCTTACTTATCTTGGCTTGTAAGTGCCCTCAAAGCAAGAAATCTCCTTTTGCTTTAATATTTTACTTTTGACATAACAATTTTTAACAGTAAATAGCAATTTTTTATGTATATTTGAAGTGAAATTCTTTTTGTAATTCTGATGAAATAAAGGAGTTTGCTTGTTTATCATTTAAGTCTTGCTTTCTTCCCAAGAAAATTTAAAACAATTTGAAGGAAAGAAAACAAAATATATTGAGCGTTTACACTGTCCCAGACTCTATGCTTTGATGTTACTCCATGTCCTCCTTAAAACAACCATGCGATAGTATTCTGAAGCCAGTGTCACATGG